AAGCCAAAAACCACAGGAAAAGGTCAATACATATGCTGTCATTTCAGTTTCTTTGGATTTCTGCTTCTGCATAAAACAAGTCATGATTTTGGTATTAAGTATCACCCTAGACAGGAGACAAAGTCCAAACAACAAAGAAATGTGTCCTAAATGGAAATACGGTTGCATTTTGGGAAAACACCAAGTCGAAGACTCAGTACTAAAGGACAGTGCTAGTTCTGATATCTCACCCTTCTCCATAGTCCGAAGTCTAGAACAGTAGTCATTATCAGTATACTAGGATGTTTCCTTCTTTCACTAAAACCCCAAAGGTGGCATTAGACAAGAAAGGATTTGGCATTCAAGATGAGCTCGATAGCAAAAGACATGAAATCAGGAGAAGATGCAAACAAGTAAAACTGTTCAAGCGTGGAAAAGCTCAGGACTTAAGTCTAAATGTAGGCAAGACTCACTCAAAAGTATGCATGATAATCAGTGTCTTGGTAAGGTATGCAATGCCATTACAGCAATGACTGCTGGATGGCACCCAAATCTAGCAATAGGTCTGTCTACCTATTTATTGGCTCAGCCTTTAAATATGCATAATTCCATCAGTTAAACTCTGCATATTAAAGAGATAAGCTACAATAACAAAAAGCCCTTGATAGAACAATATTTGGATTTACCTATTATTTCCATCTACAAAGACTTATGACATTCAAGACCATTTTGAAATTCCAGGAACAACTCACAAAGTCTGCTGCTATCTCCAATAAGGTTCAGATTAAAAAATTTGAAGATATCAGCTGTAAAATCAAAGACAACAGATAAAAAAATCTTTCCCTCTAAACAGGCTTTAATTCTGTATGTTCTCTACCTCTCTCTATTCACAGCTGACTATTTAATCTATCACAGATTCCTAGTATCTGTGGGAAGAATACACACACAGTGTGGTATAGAATTAGTCTTGGAAAAGTTGCAATTCAGCCATCTCATTGTTACCAAATTGAGAAGTTCTTGCAATTATGTTTTCATTTGGAATCAAATTCAGGATAATTATGAAATTAATGTATGAAATAACAGCCATTGTTTCAGAACATCAATTACTTGCATCTTACATAAAACTGACAGGAAAGGTGGATTAATTTCCAGCTTTTTACTCTACTTTTAACTGTGTAATTTTATTCTTACACTTTTTCTACGTAATAAAAACCACGTTTATCAACCACCCAGTAAGCTACATGTTATTTATTTTTCTAGTACTAATATGTACATATCTCATATTATCATGTGTCTCAAAATATACTGTTAATGTGGAATCTATTCTATTCTGTGACTGATTCTGTGACCATACCTAGAATTTTAGAATATAACACCAGGCAGGCTAGCAAAGATGACAGTGTATTTAGTCATCAAAGTACAAGGCTTCTCGATAGCCTAAAGTAATACTTAAAATATATATATATATATATATATATATATATATAAATATATATATATATATATATAAATATATATAAATATATAAATAAAATAAAATATATATATAACATCCACACACACTGCTGTCAGTGTATCTTTCCTTTGGTTTCACATGAAGAATAAACAACAGCTACACAATCTAAGTTAGGACTGTTTTAGCTACAAGCAAGCTGTCTAGAAAGTCATCACCAAACTTTTCTCCTAAAGCATAGTTTTAATCACACTGTACACTTTCTAACCCATCCCATCCCAGAGAACACCAATAAGCATGAGCTGTTCCTTACAATAGGACCACGCATCATCTATTTTGCAAAAATCATGCTTTCTGGGGGAGGGAGAGATTCAATTTGATTGAAACAGTCAAAAAGTTCCTTTAAAGACTGGGGACAGACATTTCTGATGAGCATGGTAGATTTCAAGTATAGTCAATTTTACTTTGAAGTCAACTGTGTCATGGTGTCATTTCACCAGAAACAGTAGAATAAGATTAATAAATACTAATTCTGAGAAAGAGGCTACCAAATCCCACACAAATTATTTTTAAATGAGAACTTAGAAATAGTAGGTAGGACCTGTGCCTAAATGGGAGCATTTAAATCTATTGTGCTTCACAGAACAGAACTACTTGGATATGTGGAGGTATAAACACAGCACAGCTCTGATTTGAGAAGAGACAAAAGACTGCTTTAGAATATTACATGTAACATGCCAAACGTGAATACTTCGCATTCATGTGAATACTTGTGTCTACGTAAGGTAGAAGCAGCAGGAGTTCAGAAGACATTGTTTTCTTCATACAAGCGCCAAAAACATAAATATATGTAAATGAAATCAACTGAATTTGGGATTTAAAATCTAGCTGACTTCAAAATGAGTTTTTAAGACGAGTTTAAAAGCTTCTTGTTTTCACATAAAAGGAAAACAAGAAGAGGGCTGGTTAACCACAGCACACAAACTAATCAGATGATGCACGGAAAATAATGTTCTCCATTATTTGAATGACAGGTCAAGTATAACTTGCTTTAGAAATTTATAGTCCTGTAAAAATCGATCAGAAATCTTAAGAAACGTGCAACTTTGACAGAAGTTGGGGATCTCTGCTAGAAAACAACTTAAAGTTTTGCTTACACTTGGTTTCTTTTGCTGTTACAGCTGCAATAGCCAAGTTGATAACATTTTCTAAAACACCCTAATACAGTCTAAGAAAAAACCTAACAAGAGGAGCTTTGAGCGTATTACAATTAATCTCTCCATAACACTGAATGGGTATAACAATACTCACGGCCTTTTTAGGTCAGTTAGAGCCTGTTACAAACCACTAACAAAGTCCTGTTTTGGTGGTTTCTTTATTGATATACAACTTCCCTCCCTGTAAGCCCATCAAGTAGGTGAATCTGTAAATCAGATAGGGAAACTAGGGAAGTCCTACAATTACATACCTGCTGCTGATAGATTAAAAGTAAGCAGAAGGAACTGGGATTATTTTCAAAAAAGGATTTGTTGAGAGGCTTGTACACTAAATACAGACTTGAAACATTTAATAAATTGGAAACGATCAAGTCAGCATATCAAAACATGGGCACCTCCTGATTTTCAAATTACTTGCATTTCTGAAGCAGTTAAAATCACTGCAGGAAATCCAATGTACTACATGCTATATGAATAGCACAAGCACCAACTAGCAAGCAACACCAGATTGACTTGAGACTTCTGAGAACATGAAAAAAAGCAGTAAATCTGTGTTTGCATAGACTTTTTTCAAGTTACATAAATTAACACGCAGATCAGCTGAGGAGCATTTGCACAGCAGCAACTGGTGCTAACTATAAACTAGGCAACAGTGTTAACAAAAGCCTAAAACCAATACAAAGGAACTTTCCATAGAGACTACAGCAGATGTTTGTTTTCCATTCTTAGCACTGTAACTGCCAGAGAGAGAGATCAATTGGATCTAATTTTGTTGCATACAAAAAAAGGATACACTTAACTATCATTTGTGTTGCCTTAAAACATACAGGGAAAGCACACGAAATGAGCTTTGTGTAGCAAAAAGGAACACAACTGGCTCCTCAAGGATATGCAAAGAAATCCACTTTCCAACTACTAAAATGAATTCAAATAATGCAATTTAAAGAACACTTTTTGCAAACTTAGAAATAACCTGTACTGAAACAGGTCATTTTTCAACACTGAATGCTTTTCCCCACCCTCCTACTCCACAAGACAGTACTGTTACCAACCCTGTGATTAGCAAGTTTTAAAACTTAAAGATGAAGTCAAAACTTTGGCTTGTAACGTTCTTCCAAGTTCTTTATAGTTTAGAGAGAAACAATTTGTACTCCTAGAAACACTACATTTTTACTCCATATAGAAAACAACAACTCCTCTCCCACCATTTCAATGCAATCAATAACAGTATTTTTTGTTTAAAGACTTTTGAACTATTTGCATTTGTCCTCTGGACTAAATGGTTGTATTACGAATCAGTTGAAGGACCCTAGCACAGTACTGTAGCTTCAACAAGCCTCCAAAGAGGACAAAGAACAGAGAAACACAGCCAGAAACAGCACTTACATCAGAGCATTAAAACCAAGTAACTTCTTCTAGATCATTATCTCACAGTGCAGCTGAGACTTCAAAATCCAACAGCAACAAAAACCCACATCAGCAACACTGCCAGCAGCAGTTTTCCTTACCTCAAGGCTACAAAGAGCTTACAGAGTTCCTACTTGTAGTTTATTATGAAACTAACATTTTTTTCCCTACTAGGAAAAGATAACTTGTGTGGGTCAAGGTATGTAGTAACCGTGGAAGCAATTTTAAAAGTTCACTTCTGGAATTTGATCAGAACAATGATTGTTCCTTAGCTGTAATGCTTACTGTAAGAGCCTATCAATTCATTCAGAACAGCCTGGAATGACATGACTATGCATTTATTTATTCCAACACCAGGGCCCTCACAATCAGGACAAATCCTGTTACACACATTGCAAGCATCCCATCAGTGAAAGATCACCACAACATTAAGGCCATCTGAAGCACAGGAATGAACAGCACTCAGTGTTTTATTATGCAGTCACCTGGTTGTGCACAAGAGGGAACAACCCCAGCCAAGACATCAGGAACTAATTATCATTACAATTTTTTTCAGTTTTAGGAACTCTGATCAGCACCTGCATGTCAACATGAAAGTCACAATGCACTTTCAGGGCCTACTCACTAATCTTAAGAAAAGCCCAGTCTGGCAAAACTGAAGAACCAAAATACCAATCTGCTTAGGCACAAAATTAAACGGGCACAGAATACTCCACCTTCCTTATAAAGCTCAATGTTACAAGGCTAAACGTCCACTTTAAAAAAAACACATGGAAAGGGCATATTTAAAATGATGTTCTCCCTCTCTTCATAAGCCTAGTATGACAGTTAAGAGATACAGTTCTAGCACTTGTAGCTGGCTATTTCTTTTTCCTGTCCTGACTCAGAGCTCTAAGCTGAAAGCATGAAATAAATCACATTCATGGCTGTCCTGATTCACCTACCTGATATAGGGATCCCTCCCAGACCTGTGCTGTGTTGTGGTTGGAGATTCAAGTCCAAGAAATTACTATTTGAGGTGGGATTTGCTGTGTGGTTCAAGTGCATGATGCTATTGCGTGGAAAGGCCATCCAAGGATAGCGAGCTGCTTGGCCTGGAAAACTGAAGGAGTTGTAAACTGCTCGATGTTGTTGAAACTGTGGGAACCTCTGTGGCATGACTGGAAAGGTGCTACTGAGAGAGTTGGCATTTGCGGGTGCAGCAGGATGCAGAAATCCAGAGCCTGGCCCTTTGGCAGTTGTAGTGTGTGGGGAAGGGTTCTGAAGAGATGTGGGCGAGAGGGAAGGTTGGTCTTGAACTGACAGTTCCTTCTCAATCAGGTCTGCTAAGGCTTTGCGGGTGACGTCAAAGGGGTCAAACCCTAAGTCGTCCTCTTGCTGTTTGGAGGAACCAAACCCAAAAGCCGCTTGCCAGTCTGTGGAAGAAGATACTGGTATAGTTTCTGTTGGAGAGGAATAAGATTTAGAACAAGGATTAGTAAGTACTTGTCCATAGAAAAATCTCACCTTAGCGTGTTTTACTGTTGCCAGTTTATCTTAATATTTCTTTGTAAATTGCTCAAAGACACAATATTCATCAGGAACTCCATTTTCAGACAAAAGACAAAATTTCTACTTTAGTTGAAGCAGTAGAACTAGAAAGCAGTGGTTTTACTGCAGAATTCCTTCAATTGCATAAAAGCTATTGTCAAATAAGTATTTTTCAGGAAAAGCAGAGTAGAAAGACCAGTGAACTTTATAATGTTGTATAACATTATACTTAACACCCAGTTACTGGAGGGATCTGTAACCAGAGTTTAAAGTTGCTCAATATTTTGTTTAAAGTATTAACGCTGAACAAGAAACTGGGTGGGAGGAAGTAGGGTGGAGGGGGGTATTTTCTCACAGGTACTTCTGAGTAGTGGTTGAAAAGGAAAAAATAGTCTACTACTATTGAAAAACGAGCCAAAGTCTTAACTGTGCACTTTGATTAAACAAAGGAAATAAGGCACTGCATTACAAGAATTTAATATTCTTAAGCAGCATTGCAGAGTCTTTTCTGAATTTTCCATTGGCACTTATTTGGCACTGATTTTTTGTTCAGGTTTAGAGCATGCCAATCCTATTTTCAGAACATTTCTCCTCAAAACTGCACTGAAGAAAGCAAAGTACAAGGAGGCAGCATCACTTACATTAACTCCCTCTGCTGGTAGGGAACCTGCTGCTTAAGCCTAGTGTCCTCTCAAAAAGAATATCTACAACTCCATTTCCAGAAAAGAAAAAGACAAACTCCCTGCCCTTCACATTTTTACTGTAATAGCAATAATATATTTTTATTAATTATGGAAAAAAAATTCTGCTACTTGGAAGTTGTCTCCCACTGCTACTTAATCTTCATACTATTGTGTGTATAGTGTCTTAGCAACATTTTCCTGATAATATTATTTAAAAATATTTCCCAGAACGGAGAGAAACATTAAAAGACTAGCCACTAAGCTACCAGATATAAAAGTATCATTACATTCTATTTATTATCATTCTTATTTCATTTAATTTTCTACCACATCTCAGGTTTCTAATTTGAGAACTTTAAAGTACTGTTAACCATTCCCAAGACTGTATCAATACACCTAATATATCTAAAAAGATGTTTCACTCAAGTGAACTGGTATTTTATGCCTTCCAGTTACTGCCATTTTAATGGTATTTTTATCTTTTCTGAATACATATAATCTCACTTCAGAAAGATTATTCATCTTCAGATAACTATGCAGGATACCAAAGAAAATTTGGAATTCTGCTGCATAGAAGTACGCAAATGGCTAAGAAAAACAAAGCAAATGCTCAGGTAACTTAGCCACACAGTTGGAAAACTCTAAAAGTTTCTTTCAGGTGAAAGTTTATGTCAGTGCAATTCATTTGTACAGTAGAGTGAAACCATGATAAATATTTGTGAATCAAAGACAGTGATATAAAATATATCCCAGAGTTTAGTTTTAGACATCAATTGCAAAAGCAAGCAATACACAGCAGCATAAGCTGGGTGCATAGCTGTGCATACCTGATGTGAAGAGGCTCTGTGGTTCTGGTGCTGTAGGCCAGTCATTTGAAGTCTGTGGAGAGCTGGGGAACGGAGGAAGCCCACTGGGGATGGGGTTAGGGTGCCGGAAGTTGTCAGAGAAGAGTGACTGTGATTCTGTTACAGCTCCTTCAAAAGGAGACCGTGCACTGTGGTTAGATGAACTGATGAGTATGGCTGGATTGGGTTTTGTTAAACCAGGCGGCGGTGAAGGTGTGTCACTGTTTGTTATCTACAGGCAAAGATGAAAGAAAGACAATTAAGTCATGAGAGTTCATGTATATTCTTCACTAACAATTGAAAATTCTCTTCAAAACTTCCAGCTGCTTTTAGTTTAGTTATATCATTCAGTATGATTTTTAACATTAAGCCAACTTAGCAGTAGCACGTTTTAGTTTTATTTAAAATTACATTATACTTCAGAAAGTATTCAGAAATTTGCCTCTCATAGCATAAGTTGCATCAAACCAAACAAACTCAACTCATGTGTTCACAGGATCTATCTTTGTCTTACCTGCTGGGAGCTGTCACCGTTTCCTATACTGAGGGAATCTGAAGGTTTGTCGATAGGGCTGCAGAAGTGGGAAGGGAAAGTCAGTAAGTCACGTAAGTATTTAATGTGAATATCAACATTTGATTTTGTAGTGATAGAAAAGCTTTGAAGTAAACCAAAATTAAATTGGAGGAGTTAAGAAGGAAAAAAAGTCGACTCTTTGAGACTTTAGTTATAAACATTCCAATTATTTGCCATATAACATTTCTTCCAATGACTCTCCACTCTGCTTGTGGAATACCCTGTTATGGGACAAAAGAAAAGTTATAAATGTCTTCAGAATAACTGCCACTCCAAAAAAAAAAGACTTATGTTCTACAGCAGCATTCCATTTGTGGTCAGTTCTATCTCCTTTATTACTGCAGTAAAACTCGGGAACCGATTTGTGTTCTAAATACTGAAGTTGCCAGTTCCCATATAAATCCTAAATAAATCCAGGGAAAGAAAAGAATAAATTAACTACTTAATCCTGGTGTTAAGACAAGCTTCCTGTCAGCCTTGAAGCTTTATCTTATAAAAATTAGTTCCAAGGTGAGAAAATTGATTTTTGAGATGACAGAAAGCAAAAAATGCAGGAAAATATAACAAAAATTGTCAATAAATGTAAAGAGAAGAGCAGGTATAGCAGAAAGTCACCTCAGAATGCTATTACTGAGAATTTACATGACTCAGCTAAAATGGCACGCCTTGGGATTCAAGATTCAACAGGCACTTGTGAACAGCCTTAGTTATACTAAATACCACAATAATGAAATCGTGAAAGTTTAAGTTAAACTTTAAGGCAGAGATTTTCATCTGAAAAATATTTTATCTGCTCTTAAGAGAATACACACAAGCGTCTGACTGCATATCCCCAAACACTGGTCCTACAGACAACGACCAGAGGTACGATTCTTATGAACATCACAAATTACAGGTATAACCTGTTAGTGCAAAGTAAATATAAATACAGAAGTCATTTTAACTGGGTGCAGACTTCAGATTGTAGCTACACTTTGTTTTCAAACACTCCTTGCTGTTTTAAAGCGTAACATTGCATAAAGCCATGTAGCAAAGTTCAAAACTCAAGAATTTGCTCCTCCACTCATATTTATTCACTGCCTCCAAGAATAACTAGTCTAACGTCAGTAGATTTAATTCTTCTCTATTCTAGAGAAATTGTATAAAAGCTACTCATCAATGAAAACAATTTGGGAGCTAAAGAATGCTGAACTGGCATCTCAAAGATAATTGAAGGTCAAGTATTTACAATCACAAAAGAAAAATCAGAAATATTTGCAATCAAGTATTACTCCAGTAAAGACTTACTGAGGTACTTGGTGGTTGAAAACTATTAAAAAAAGTTCTTCCACTTTGAATAAGCTCCCTTATTTTATTAATTTCTGAATAGCTACAGCACAGAAATTTGCTGTAGACTTCATTAATCAAAGTTGATTGCAGAGCTCATGTGCCTGGTACATCTTCTCAAAGCCTTTGATAGGGAGTCACAAAATCACAGCTTAGAGCTATGCAACAGGTAACTTAATAGCAACACAGACGCAGAAAGACAATGATCATTATACTTGAACCTGCTTAAGAAGCCTTTAATTTTAAGACATGCTTCCAGACCCCAAGAATGAGCATGATTCATTACTGACTGGTCATAATATTTTACTTATATGTAGTAAATTCTTTCCAGAAATGACAAGGAAGAAGTCTTGTGTTAATACTGAGACGCAACCATAGGATCTGTCCACATCTCAGCTGAATTGGTATTACATCTAAGAAGTACCACTTAAAGCAGCATTCAGTATCAGCTCAATACTGGCTTAAAATGAAGATCAGCTGCCTAATCAACAGCACTACTTCTTGAAATATTTAGTATTTACCTTGTTATTTTCCCATTCAACCTCTGAATGGGCCCAAACAATCTGGTCCAGTAAAAAACGCTTGCGAAGGGAGAAAAGAACAATTCTATGCAAGGGAGGCACCAAAATCGGGCAAAAAAATACTGGTCAATAATAAAAAGTTATTGCAGGCAGATGAATTACTTGCTTTGTACACAGAAGCCTCAGTTGAATGTGCTGTCTTATTGTTCCTGTTACTGATAAAAAAAATCATGGAGTCATTGTCTCTACAGTAGAGACAATGTACAGTTTTTGGAACACATTACAGTGAAGAGATGAAAAATAGTCAACCCTAATACTTAGTTTCCTTCTCTTGAAGGTTTTTCTAGTATTAAGTCTCCTGATGTACAGCAACTGACATGTTACATTTGTGGAATGGTTTTGTACAGAATTGAAGGGTTCAGTTTTGGCTGGGACCATGCACGGCTGCAGGCAGCTTTATAAGCTGTTGATGCCCTAATTATGCAGCTCACCTCAGCCCATACCTGTACCATCACTAGCAATGTGAGAGTTCTCCTGCAGAGTCTGCCAATCAGCCTTTTTGACATGGGCTAAGCCAAGCTTGGCTTTCTGTGTCCTGATCAGGGTTTGAATCCAGTTCTCCAACCACAGAGACTGGAGAACAATTCCCTCCACACCAATCAGTGAGAGAGAACAAGCTATCTGAAGTATAAAAGGCAGCACAATTACCCGAAATCTGAGTCTGCACCATCTGGAGTCATGTGTTCTGGGTCTGTGCCATTTTCTAATATAGGAGGCGTTTTCCTGTGTTCCATTGTTAAGCCGTTGGCTGATTTACTTGAACTCTGTAATGATGGCCAGGCATCTTTGTTATTACTGTTGGGTCTGGAAAAAGGCAAGAGTTAAAAAAAAAAAAGAAGAAAAAAAAAGAAGAGTTCAAGTTATGAAGAAAGTGTTTTAAAAATTGTAAGCACTGAGGAAATGAATCCTTGCACCAGATAAACCACAAGAGCAGATTTATCTGGATATTAGAATTTAAATGGTGATGATTAAAAAAAATAGAGGGGTAGAGATGGGAGAAAGAAAACTGGGCAGAACCCTCAGTTTTCTTCACTGAATAGATAACTGCACTGCCAGTGCTGGAGTCTGAACATGTTCATTCAGGAAAAAAAAAGTCCACTGACAGTTTCAAGTATCCAGACCTACGTATACCTCATTTGGAGTTACTGGCTTCATCCCATAAGCATTTTAAGTCATTTAAATCATTAACTAAACCATTTTTAAGAAAAAAACTTCTACATCCCGGGATCTATCAAGCCTGGCTCAGATTAAGTTTGTGTTTTATTCCTGCACAAGAGTCCACAGCATTACTAATGGACCATGAGACCAGTCAGATGAACATTTTTCATTCAAGTTACTGCTCATTTCCCTTCCAGTTTAAAGCTATAATTACTCCTCAAACAAAGACCCATTAAGTTCCATTTCAGAGAGCACATTCAATCTGAAAATTTCAGAAAACTCAAAGCCAAAAGTATCACTGAAAATAGTTATATTTTATACAAATTAAAGTACTCTGGAATATCATCTATAACCAAATGCATTCAAGTACACTGTCATCCAAGAAAACTATAATAATCCGAAGTCTCAATATGAGAGGTTTATCTTTACCTTCTCCACTTTTTTTCCCCCATTAGCTTCAGCTTTCCATTTGTTTCAATTATGATGCTGCTTTTAGTGTTCAAGTGCTGTAGTTCAACTGCTGTTTTTGTAACTAAAAAGCTCTCAAAAAATGTATTTTCTGGTAAATGTTTCTTCTGCTGCCCTCTTCATTAATGTTCTTAATACATGGTCCAATACCTACTCTACATATCTGGGTCAATTATTAATTGACAGTCATAATCTGGAGATTCCCATAGCTGTTCATAGCTGTCTCAGGCAGCTAGGACAGGTATTACTAGCTAACCTCAAATGCCTATTATTATTTAAAGATTTGCTACTCTACTTGTACCTCTTCTCACATACCTATCCAACATGCATGCAGATGAGACACTCAACCAATTTACATATCTCATCCTTGCTCTGTACACACTGAAAAGAGAGACAGCAAGTTGACTGAATATTGAGCAGTGAAGACAACCTATACATCCTTGCAGTAATTTAATATTGTCTCAAAACGACCCACTCACAAAGGTGAGTTATTAATCTAGATGTAACAAGACTAAATCCATTAATAGACTTCAAATACACTTATGTTCACTACAACATAAAGTCACCTCCATACTACAACTTGAAAATGTCACAGTAAAAATCAGTTTTGCAATCAAAATGAAAAGTTAACAGCCTTTTGTTGCATTTCATACATGTTCTTGTTGTTTTTTTCTTCGATGTTCAAAGCCATATGCTTCCAAAAGCCTTCTCTAGAAGACCAGCAAGTACCTAACAAGTATTTTTCCTCTTCCAGCAAATGAAAACATTTGTTTCAGTTCTTAGGGGAAAAGTTAGTAGGAAAAAAAATTCTGAGGAGGAACTTTGAAATAACAGAATTTTGAAAAAAGCATTTCTGCAGAGTTTAAGAAATGCTGTCTTCCCTATTATTGTTTATTTATAAATATCCATCTACTATTCAGAAGCCAACTACTATTTTCTTCCAAAGAAATCGGCATGCCAGAAACACGACTGACACAAAACTGTCAGAAGCTCTAATAAACTGGCAGATCTAGTACCATATTAGTGAATCAAAACAAAGAAGAACATGACTAGGTACAAAGTTGTAAAGAACAAAACATTTACCAGCTCACAAGCTAAATACTGAACTAATAAGACAGGACTTTAAGAAAATAGTTAAAAATCCCAGCTGCAAGAAGAAACATACTTTGCAACCCACAAGATGGTGCCTAGTCATTAGGAAAGATCAGATTCTGTGTGATGTTGTTCAGGTGAAAAGAGAAATCAACTCCAGATTACTTGTTCCCTTTACAGAAACATGCCATTTTTCCTCAGAAGTGCTAAAAATTTTAGCACTGGTCATGCTCCAATTCATACTTGCTACCTGAAGGCTTAAACTTGCTGCTGTTTTAGATGGAGCATTCTCTCATATCTGGTGCCACATATCTTCATTCGTCTTGCTTGGATCTAATTAGGTGTCAAATTATTATTATTTTATGTTCAAAGTCTGAACTAATTAGTGCACAAACAATGCAGGAAGCAGTACGTTTGCTTTCTTTGCTCTACTCTTCCTTTCAAGTCAATACTGAATCAATGCACAAGAAATAAAAAGATGTAACAAGTCCTTGAGAAAAGATCAAGCCTGACCACTTGCAGTCAAAGAGTGCATGACACTGTAGAAGTTCAAGAAGATAATTCCAGCATATCACTTGGCACGCCAATTCTCAGAATTGTATTCTATGGATTGAAGCTCCACTGACATCATTTTAGGTACAGTGCTTCCTTTCTTGCTTAAATTGTTCTGTTGTGACGTTACCAGCAGCAAACCATCTGAAAATTCAGTGGATAAATTGGTCCACAACATAAAACACAATCAAAGCCAAGGTGCACATGAAGCGCAATTTAAGTTTTACATTTCACCCTACCAATGTTTGTAAGAATCCTATTATGAGAATTCAAAAAAAGGAGCATAGAAATTTATTAATAGCTTCTATCTTAAATATAAGATTTGAGCAGATAATTCACAGGAGGACTGACAACCTTAGACTTTCATTCACATTTGTATGACTGTGCTCATATCAACAGAAATCTTTTCATAACTTCATGAATAAAAACCAACTGCAACAGAACAAAACAGCAATAAGCGCAATTTTGTGATTAAAACAGTGAAAATGATTTTCGTGAATTTCCAGATTCCAAGGTTTTTATACTTAAAATAAGAACTGCAGTCAAAGTCATGCTATGAAGACAAAATAAGAAAAGCATATCAAGACACTAGGCTGTCTGTTGTACAACTAGACTGCATTCATATATCAAACACTTTACCAAGAACGTTAACATCTGTTATTTAATTACTGCAATATATATTTATGAAAATATGAAATGAAAGATCTTTAAGAATAAGAAAGCCTCACTTGGAAATACTGATCCAAATGCACACTTGGTAGAAACGAGTATTAACAAAGCATTACATAGGCCTCTAACTAAAGAGAGAGGAATGTTACCTAAATTTTTCACACAACACACTGAAAAGAGCAGGCTATTTAAGGAATGCAAGAGGAACAAGAATGTCTTCTGTGGAGTAACAGGTAACAAAACATTGCCAAGTAGTGCAGCATCAGTACTTACGCATCGTACCTCTGCAGTGCTGTCACTTTGTTCTTGTTCTTGTCAACTGTACCCGTAGATAACTGAAGAAAGTTGGGGTTTAGTTTGTATAGTTCTTGCAGTAGTTTCTGTTCATATTCTTGGTGCTTACCCGCCTACAAGGAAAGAAGAACTTGCAATGAATGACACTAATTTCACATATTTATGTACATCCCAAAACTTAGTAATTGAGCTGTACCAGCTTGAGAGGTCACCCTGACAGACTCAAAAAGTGCTTCTTAACCTCAATATTGACATGATCCCAGCAAATCTAAAGCTTGCCTAGAAATAACTCAGGTGAATTTAGCCAGTTATATATATATATATATTTTTTTTTGCTTCTAAGGCAGAAAAATAGTTGCAGTCTTGCTAAAAATTACTCTTCCATTCTAATAACAAGCTTCACTATATAAACTCTACATCATAAATAGCTTAATCTCAAAGACAAGCATACAGTCTGCATTCTACATATTGACTACATCAATCTTTTCAGGAGACAGAGTGAGCAAAACCAAAGCTTTTTTCCAGTCAGAAGTTCCCCTACATAAGTCATTCTATACAGGCTTAATAAAAAACTACTGAGGTGGTACAAGTGTTACCTAACATGTGACAAGGAGCACGTTCTGAAACTGAAAAATCATTCCTCCTAGTAATTGAAAAATTTAATTAATTTAACTGAAATAATTGAGAACATTTTCTTGCTTTCAGAAATTGAGGACTGATCCCAAGTCAGAATGCTAAGCCTGGTGAGTGAGAGTATTTTTCAGTCTAGCTTATCTATAATATTCTGCTAAAATACTTAAATACTATTTGCAAGTTAAGTATTTTAATAATTTGAATCAATATGCAAAATTGAACAGTGAAGTCAATAGCTCTTATCTACAGGTTTCAAATATTAAGAGACACCCTTCAGCAAGAGACTAAGTGTCAAGATTAAGACCTTCTGAATCTTATGTCTCAAAACAAGACATGGAATCCTCAAAATGGATTTGATCTCAAACTACATAAACAATTTAAAAAAAATCAACGCTAGTACATTACTTAATCCATTCCCTTTATAAAGGTTTTGTTGGGATAGGAATGGAAGTGAGCAATATGGACATCGTCCTAGAGAAACACTATAGCTTACAAGAATGTTATTCCTTTTTCTCTGCCTCCAGACATAACACAGGGAAATTTATATTTTAAACAAGATTCAAAACAACAAAAATCCCACACACAAAACCTAACAAAACAGTAAGAAAATCCACATGCTAAATAGCTAACTTTAACTTGTCTTTATGGGTACTATTAGAAAGGCAATTCCATTCCCCATTTAAACTAAATCCTCCAAATCAGTCAAACATGACTTAATATCTTAATGTTTTTTGGTACTCTATTTGGTTCTCTATTACAGATTGATTTTGAATGTGTCTAACATACACTACTCAATGACCTTTTGGGAATTTGTAACACCTAATACATGCATTCTTACCCATCTTTGTACTCATCTACACCCAAGTTACTATCTACAATAAAGTAAGGATTTATTCCTAGAATGCGATTCATCTAAATGTAATTTTTTTTATCCGCTATACCCTAGAAATGCTTCTATGGTCATCTGCTAAGAACAGAAAAAGTTACTCCTCAGATGCACAGACCTACACTGTAAACATTGAACAGTTAAGCAAGGAGAACCATTCGCCAGTAACATCAGGCCAGCCCTAAGCTTACTTGTTCATTACATAAATGAAAGAAAGAATAAAGATTGAAATCCTACATAGAAGCTTCCACTAATGTTTTATTTATATAAACTAATCATATAAATGCCAAAGCTATTATCTCTAACCCGTCTCATCTAAATTGCCAAATTCACGTTCAGAGACTTTCTGGAGTTCTACCAGTTCTTTTAGTTCATCACAGTATTTAATTTTTTACTATTCTAGAACACAGCATATTCTTAGATGATGATACCAAACTTCTCTGGGTAGTAAAATGCCATGTTGATAATGTGGAACTCCAAAGAAATCCACTACGCCAACAAACAGGCCAAAGAGTGTCAAAGATTCACCACAGAGACACGCCAGGTAACAAACACACCTGGGGAAAGTTCATTTAAAACTACACTTACATAGTTTTGGCCTCTGAACTGGCCTTTAAAACACAGAGATACTGAAGTCACTGTCAACAGATCTGAAATCTCTAGCTCATTATGCATTCATAATCAAACCAGATCTGTGCTGGGCATCATAAGGAAAGATTCTGATGAAAGATCACAACATTTAGCTTTGCAGCCTTTGCATCATGAATATAATGCATCCAGTCTCTGCACTTCAACTATGACTCTTCAACTGTACAGAGAATATAGAGAAGAACAATAAAAATTACCAATGAAAGGGAGAAACTGCTTCACCAATGTTTAGGTGACCAGAAAATCTGCAATTTGGGGAGAAGGCCGAGAGAGGTACAAACCAAGTTTTAGAACACCACAAAAACAGTGGCTAACGCAACAACGCATTTAGCTTTTAGCAATTACCACAATGCTACAACTAGGGGACAAATGACAAAACTGACTAGGAATCAGTTTAACACTACCAAAAAAACTATTACAAAATAGATAGTGAAATTTTGGCACAAAGGGCTGTGCACACGATGGTATGAGCAGGTTCAAAACGGGTTAAGTAAATTCAAGACTGACAGCTCTATAAGACTCTAAAGAGCCTGTACACATCTGCATGTTCCTGTCTATTAACAGATCTAAGTGGTGGTAGAAATTTAGAAAAATTAAGAGGAAGTTGCCTGGTTTGCAAGTTCTAGAAGTTTAGTTCTTATTCCTAACCACCTGAAAAGATATATACAGCAAGAACTATTGATCTGAACAAGCAGAATATATTTTCTTGAATTAAAAATAAAGCTTAAATTCTCAGAAATAATTACTGTTTTTTAAAAAATGTTTAATAGACATTCTTCCTTATTCTCTTAAATCTCTTTAAATGCCTTAAATCAGTGTAGCACACAACATCCACCTGTACACTAGTGCTAACACTGAGAGTGTGGACCATCTGCTTCATGGATAGACCATACGTAAAAACTACAACATGGATGCATACATAAGGTTGAGTTTAAAATCTGTATCATACCTCACACAGAGGGACAAACTCAAAAGACTTCAGAACATACAACCATTGAGAAATTAAGGCTATCCATTTACTTGCTTCTCTGCTCACGATGATAAGCATTTCTCTGTCAATGTTGTCATAAAAAAACCACATGTGCTCTATTTTAGTTACCTTCAATGTTGTATGTTCAAATGGCTTTTTACACCCTTCACAGGCTAACAGATGTAACACAATCCAGGTAGCACAGTCACATCACAACAACAGTTAAGCGTAACTGACCAAATACACAAAACCTATACATGTATTAACCTCTTTCACAGAAATTTAAAATAACATTACTTAACACTGATATGAAGAAAGAGCAAGTAGTAAACTCCATGTTATCTGAATTATTAATAGTTTATCTCAACTTTTTTCTCTCACCAATACTAAGTGAACTCAGCATTTGAAGGCAGCATGCAACACAGAATATAACTATTCACTACCAATAACTAATTGGTAAAGCATCTAAATATCATTTCTAATTCAAAACTCAATTCCATAACATTCTGCAGCACACTATATAATACAAATATTGGACTAAATTAAATGCAAGAAAATACATGTGCCACACTTCATGCATTTCCCATTCATTATATTTACCTGCATTTCTTCTTTTGTGAAACTGGCTGCTTCATCTCCTAGCTCATGTAGATACATACAGTCTGGTTTTGGACACTGCATATTTTTTAGAAAATAACTGCAGTATTTTGTTGTACCTAGTGATGCCTGAAGAAACAAATCATTAGATAAATTAAGTACCAGAAGTTAAGGATACCATTAACAGTAGAAAAAAACCCTGTATTTATAAAAAAAAATTTCTTCTCACAATTTCAACAAAGTGTTTTTGATGCAAATAGACTAAGAAGTCCATCTGCAAGAAATCCACGTGCTCAAACATTAGACAGTTAGAATATACTTATTTAGAGGAAAATGGAAATCTCAAAATAACAGTCTCAGTAAATATCTGCATTCATAAGTTATATTGAGGAAGTAGTTAAAGTCTGCATTATGCTCAACTGGTTAATATTTTATAACAGGATCAGGAAATGAAAGTTAACCAAAAATTTTCTGTAGACACTAATTTGGCCAAGTTACCCTCTATATCCATTTACACAGATACCAAGAGGGAACAATCTTACACTTCCACAGAGCTTTTGAGAGGCTTTTCTTTTTTTCAGACTACTTAAAATCATGTGATATTACAGCATGGATTTTAAGATGACTGTGCATAGACCTCCACATTCCCACTGATTCTACGTGCAATATAAAGCAAATACGTTCAGTAGGGAAAAAATAAATGCAAGTCTAATTAAAGAAACAAAGAGTTTAAGAAAATATGAAGCAACAAAGACAAGAGTAGCCTTGATGACACAGAAAGCTTTATACAGGTAACTTCATTCAAGAATGCAAGCACATCCATACAGATGTTTTACAAGATGTGATGATTTTAATGTAGTAGCAAATAATACATAAAAATTTGATAAATAGAAATATTACCACCTTAAGTGTTCTGCCGTCTACCACCACATTATTGACACACTGTATGGCTCTGAGAGCATCTTCTGACCGGATGTAGGTTACATATGCACTGGCACTTGGACCCTAGAAAGAAAACAGGTCACATTTTTTTCTTCCTCCTCAAACAGGCCTGAGCATTAAGTTGATCTTATAACAGCTCACTACAAAAATTGGTATATTCAAGGCCATACGTTTTTGAAAAGAAAAGTGACAAAAATGGGGGAACACAAATTTAGATGTGATGCATAAATAATAAACAATAGAATAAACATCAAAACATTTTTTAAAGTTACAAAAATACTTAGCAGAAGCGGTGTTTTGACCCCCAAATGCAGAATAGAGAATGAATGTGTTTCTGCTGCTTTCAAAGTCTTCAGCCTATCTTCCAATTTTTAATCTTTCTACTTATTCTGCATCTTGCAACTGAACTTTAAGACTGGATGTTGTCTAAGCTTGTATAGTAACTTATTCTATAACAGTGTATTTTTTCCTTTTATTAATTTAACCTACTACCTAGTTTGAAACAGATCTCTACACTCACTCTGCACAAACGTATTTTCTCCAGAGGAATAAAAATCACAAGAGTCTCTACAAACTTACCTGTGAGCCTGCATATGATGTGCTGTTATTAATTACAACTTTATGTATTTTACCAAACTTCCCAAAATATTCTGGTCGTTTCAAAACCTACAAAAAGAGAAAGAAATTAAAGTGCTATACTACTTATCAATAGTCTGCGTATCTGTGCAACTAGGAGCTGTAGAGATGTGCTTTTTGTTCAGGTGGAGGAGAGCAAGTAGATGGAGTTTTGTTTCCAATAAAAATCATGGTTATGGACAACACAAAGTGCATTGCTACTAAAGTAAAGAACTTAAAAGGAGGATATTATGTTTTATCTTCTGTTTTTTTTTTTTTTTTAATTTTTTTTTAATCCAGAGTATTCAAACCCTACTCTGGTGACGTGCATCTCACTTTCCCCTGCATACCTATTTTATAATTTGAAGAAAAATTCAAAATAATATTCATTTCAATCTTAAAATAATCACCTTGAATTTGCATTCAGTTATATTAACTGCCAAAAACAAAATACTGAATTCTGACTCACTTGCTCTACTCCAAAAAGAAAAAGTAAATCAATTAAAATAGCCTTTTTGAAAACTAGACTAAGTATGGGAAGACAGTATACAAGGGTTGCTCTGAAAATAATGCCTCCTGTTATTTTTTTGTGTTGGCCCACAGTGTCAGAGGCAGATGATGGTGGTCTGGCAACAGAGGTCAGATCTTCCCACCATCATGCCATTACATTTTGTTGCTGCATCACAGATGGCAGCAGAGAGGAGTCTGATAGAAGGGGCACTTGATGTGGAAGCATCTGTGAATCAAAGGAGTAGAACTGAATTTTTTCATGAGAAAGAAATTACATCCATTGACATTCACTGATGCTTGGTGAACGCCTATGAAGACCCCACTGTGGATGTGAGTGGTGGGTGGTGTGTTTTTGCAGTAGTAACAATAACGTTAAAGACAAGCCAGATTCCAGACAGCCACGCACAGCCATCATGTCACAATATGAAGTGTCTCCATCAGTTCATCCATGTGCATCAGCTGTAAGTGATGACTATGTTGAAAAATACTGTTTTGTAGCTGAGAATTTTTTCTATCAAGTAGTGTTATTGTGCTCTTTGTATCTGTTGTAGTTTCCATGGAAATAAATAGGAAACTACTTTTGGAGCAACTTAGGTATGACATCTCTGAGGGAAAAGAAAAAATTTAGCAGAAATCAACATTGCACTGAAACAAGTGACAATATCACATCCCAGAAGGGGAAAAAACTTCTTGTCCTGCTCTTTGCTGCATCAGTTAAGCAATAACAAATCATTGTGGGGATCCTACTCAAAACAGGAACATCTTTAGCTTAGTAACTTGTTATCTGTGTGCCAATGGAATTGGCAATACGCTGTTAACAAAAGCCTCCTTCTCTACCCTGTGATGGTTGAAGCAACTACTCAAACTGAAACTACTTAAGTAAAGGTTATTTCCAATTCTTGACTATAGGCTGAAAAGAAGCAAGAACAACTTCTTCCCCGAGCTCCACCTTTAGACATCACTACAATACAGCTATACTGTCCTCATCCAAGAACTTCACCTGATCTTCTATTCTCCCTCCTTGAGGTAGTATCAAGGTCTTCATGATCCAGCAGCATCATTCACACTGGGAAAATGCTACAGAACTACTGGGCAAGCTGTACATTCAACCAGAAACTCGCTTCTGACCGCTCCTCAGTTGGTCCATATCTTTTCTCAAAGACCCTATGTCTACTTTTGGACTCCACTACAGAGAGACTCAGTCCTGAAAGAATATCTTGAAGCATCTTATAGATTACATTCTTGATAACACAGGGCAGAACGGCCATCACAATTTTCATGGGAGCATGTCAACAGGAGTGGACCCACCTGTACTCCCATTATGGTGATCTACAGATCTATCTTCAAAAGCAGTAAATAGCAGTCAGTCTCCCCTTCCCACTCACATCTATTTGTATAGGAGTCGAAAATTTAAAGTAGACATATTCAATACATTTTTTTTTTTTAGCCTCTTTCTTTCAAGCTGGGTTTCTTGGAAAACATAGTCACTAGGTGCTGCAACATTCAGTACGTTGCCATTATCAGCTGGTATGTCAGTGAAAATACTGACCACTACAAAATCTAATAAAACCCTATCACTTACTACACCAAAAAGCTTGTGTGAATCTACTAAGGATTAAAAACATGTTTGCATACTATTTTCTAACTCACAAATCTACTATTCTGGATAGAAGAAAACTCGATACATCTTTTAATCATAAATAGCACTGAGCCAATGTCAACAGTGGTTTGCAAGTGCAGTTAACTGGTTCCTACTTATTGTCAAAACCACAGTGGTTTAAGAGGTATTCTTCTTCCCTTCATATCTTTTTCTCCCTTCCACTATAAGCAGCTTTCTACTCGCTCTTCTCCAGTCTACCAAAACGTAACACGTTCTCAGTCTCCTCACTTACACTGAGGTTACTCCAGATAGTTTAGTCTGATCAGATGAATACAAGTTGGCACAGTAGTTTCAAGGATATCTTATCCTGTAGTAGACTCTTTTCACACTCTAATTTTAAGCTACTTTTGATGACAGAGTAACGATCCTCTTATCTGGGTCCTTCCCTTACTAATTTTTTCTTCAAATGACATCACCCTTACGTTCCTTCTATGCATGCCTTAGCTGTTGGCTTTTTTCTTCTGCGCTTACTTGTCCTACCCTTCTATTTATTCTTTATAACCAGATCTAGCTCCCATTTTAAAATAGGTTGTGCATAACAGAGCTGTGTACTGCCAGCAGATCCAGCATAATAAAATGAATAACAAAAAAATCTTAAGCTCATTCTCACTTAACAGGTTCTTTGTATTCCTTTAAAAGGGCAATTTTCTTAAAATAAAGCATCCGTATTCTCAAGAGCAAAAGACACAAATCATTTGTGAATTTATTCTCACAGAATTGTCTGAGTTCAAACACACCCTAAAAGATCACCTGGTCCCTATTCATTGCAGAGGAGCTGGACATCTACAACTAGATCAGGCTGCTCAAAGTCTGGTTAAGTTTGACCTTAAATATTCTCGAGTAGGAAGTCAGCAGTTGCCTTAAGCAGGCCTCAGTCAGCATCAAGGAGCCCTCTGAAAGTTCTTTATTTAGTATCCAATAGACATAGACAAGAGTGCACACAAAGGTGTCCCAGTAGTTTCTTGATAGCAAATCTACAGATATGAAGTGCTTACCTCTGGGTCTGCTAGGCGCTGAGATAACCCTACCACGAAGACAAGATTCTTCTGTACAACCCGTACACTGGCCAAATGTTTGCGATTCTCTGATATCTTCTGTTTCCTCTCATTTTGTTTCTGTTTCTTTTCATTTTTTATCCTTTGCAGCTCTTCCTGGGAGAGTGGTTTGTACACTGCTGGATCTTCTGGATATGGCTAGATACAACAAGTACAATTAAAAACAACCCATATAGGAGACAACATATTTGAAAATCATTAATCCTGACATTCTGACACATGCGTTGCATTCCTCCATCAGACTGTCCTGATTGTTGTGCCCCACCATGACAGTAGCATATTAAGTAAATATTGCAAATTTTCAGAAAGTTTTCTTTACCTATGATACTGATGTAAGCAAGAGCCACATTCTAACTGAGCTGCCTAGTCAATCTGGCAACAGTAAGAGCAGCTGCAACATGACAGCCAACACATCCCATCCAGATTTCACTAACACTGCATAGTAAGTAGAGTGAAAGTATTCTGCACATACAAATCATATTTAGTTGTTTGATACACTCAAATCTGTATTAACAAACTTGAAGACTACAAGATAAGAAACTGAAGTATAAATGTAATTTCAGTGACCCAAGACAACAGCAACACCATTACGTGACTCAATCTTTACATGATTACCTTCTCTGAGCAAAAAGACATGTTTCAAAATAGTTAACTACATACTGATTTGATAGTATTTTTGCCATAGTTATCAGTTTGAAACTTGGACTTTGTCTTCCCTGGACAAAGGTGCATTTCAAACCTTAAGATTATGATCTACAGATGACTTCTCAAACACACAACACTAGATGATAATTTCAAAATTAACCACGAAAAGAGAAAGGTCCTTGATATTACTTAGAAAGACTGCTGTATTCATGTAGATTGTGCATCTATTGCTATAAAGGCAGTATTTTAGCCCAGTCATTTAGAATACAGTGCACAGTCTTCTGTCCCAGACTACTACTCCAAGCAGTCCATGTTCCTTACTTGTCCCACTTTTTTCATACTGAGAAGTTATATTTCATACTTAATGTACAAAGCAATGCTAAGGCACAGAAGAAGGTGTATAGAACAAGCCTCAAAGTGTTACTAACACTGAAGACGTAATAAAAAAAAGAGTAGTACAGGATGTGTGTTAAGGTAAAGATTTGAGATAAAGAACTTAAGCAGAGTAGTATGCTGAGCCAAGCACAGCCTGCACTACAATAACCAAAGATTTCAATTTCCAACAAAAAATGTGCTAACTTACCTAACTGTGCTCTACTAATACTAGAATACAAAACACTAGCATACTAAATGACCTGAGTAAATGTAAAGTGGCAAATGAAAATAAGGTTTGGCTTAAACACATGTATTCTGATACTGAAAGAGCCACTCAGCAAATTCTTAGAGTTGGTAAGTCTTCTGAGTACATCTCCAAACAAAACAAAGATCCACTTCCAAGTTTAGTAAGTCACAACTCTAGCATCTGAAGTACACGATACTTGAGACAACATCTGAAAATACACTGTGGCCAACTTCAGTAGATAGTATTGCAAGTTTAAACATCAAGTTCTCTAGAACCTGTTTTTAGTATCACAAAGGAATTTAAACTTGTACAATATCTAGTATTAGAAGAAGTACACACTTCAGTGCTTTGCATGAAAACACCATAAGGACTCACATTATCCTTTAAGAACAATGTTTAAGATTGTACTGCTCTTCAAAGTTATTCCATTCATAAGTAATGCCAAATACTTAATGCAGATTTCACTTACTGAACATTTAGTGATCATATGATGCTGAGTAAGGACCTATCTTAGTAAGGTCATTTGAAACTAGCTATAGCCGATGATTTTCTTGAGTTTTAACACTTAAAAATTTTATAGATACAGAATAATCCTATAGTATGCTTCACTTAAAGAACTTCTAAAAGTCTCAGAATAAAGGAGATATCGGTTTGTTTGGGGGAAGAGAGAGTGCTCAAAGAGATATAATTCGGTTACGATGATCAAGCTCAGTTCAGGAATAGAAACAAGTGCACCAGTACAAGATGGAGTTCTGAAAATAAAAGGGCTTGCCCTACAGTGAACAGTGTGGCATCATCTTGACAAATCAGAATTTTACAGAGTAACTTCTTCCTCAAATCTCATACTAAATAAGGCAGGACTTAAATATAATGCTGTCTGGTACTGTGCCTTCAGTAGGTTCTGTGACACCCAAGAAAAATACAGCAAATAGTGCCAGAGTTCACTGACTACCTTCTTGCCAAAGATAGTAGCATTATGAGTGCATCTTCAAATGAGAAGTATGGAGACAGGACATCCCTTCTCTGTACAGCAAATTGTTACTGGAAGTCCTCAACACAGGTCTGCAAACCTCCTGCATGTCTCAAGCATATGCCTGAGGAGAGCATTTGGCCACAATAAAAATAGTGCTTTGTATTTGTACAGGAGAGCATGAGAACTGCTGGGAGACATGCAACTAAACAGCAGTGACTTCAAAATCAGAGAGTAGAAATGTCTTCTCAGCAGGTAGTACAAGATCACCAGAATAAGGATTTCAATCATTTGTAAGTAGCAGCAGCTTGCCACCATAGATAACCTGTTTGAGCAACAGATGATTGAAACTTCTCACTAGACAGTCTAGTGCTGTATTGTACACAAAATGTTTCATATGTATCCTTATCACTTCCATGACATTTAATGCTTGTAAGGAACACAAACAGTTGGACATCCTGACTTGCAGGACCTGTAAATGAGTCTATGCACCTCTTGATTCAAGAGTGAATCAGAAACCCAATTCTAAGTGATAGATGACATAAAATGTGCAGAATGAAGAGAGTTGAGTAATTTTATGCATTAAAGGACAAGCAAGCATAGCACCACCAGCATTTGAGATCATTTTAAAAATTTTAAAAGTCCTAAGAATTCAGCGACTTTAAATAATGGCATAAACTCAGTCTACAAAAAGGACAATAAGTGATTTCATCTTCAGAGCAACTGCTTCTGAGAGTGAAGTTCATGAACTCAGGGGACAGTTCAATTACAGACAGAATATAAACTGCAAATGCTGATGAGAAATGGCTCTGAAGCCATTTCAAAGCAAAGTGAACTGACTGTGGGGGTCATCTCACAATATCATTTCACCTGCCTTCTACACTGTCCGACTCTACTAAACCAAAGGAGGACTGTAGGTCCCCACAAGCTCTCAGCCAGTAGAAGTGACCATGCTACTAGATATGCCTAAAAAAAACCAAACCAACCTCAGTCAAGTACAAATCTATTTCTGTTTTGCATGGCATAAAACAAGGGGCTAGATGTTCCTAATTGCCAAGATGGTAGCTGTTTAACTTACTATCACCGATTCCTTAGATGGTAGAGAATTTGAGATCCAAACAAAGTAGCTACATCAAATGTTATCAGCATTCATATACCTTCAGATACAGGACATTAAGAGATGTCAACATCACTGATTTACTACCTAAATTTGACATCCTTCTCTTGAGTTATACAAAAGCTCTTCAGCAAAACCAGTGGAAACCATCTGGACAAGATCTGCCAAGATGGATAATGACCCAACTGTTTATACTATCTACAAGTTGCTGGTAGTCCTACTGAACTTCAAAAGTTCAAATGTCTCTTCTGAAGCCTCATTTCTTTTAGCAGAGATGGCCCTTGATGAATTCTTAGTCTTCCTCACTAAGTTTGAGTTGTCTTTTTTCTTTCAGACTTTTTTCCCCCCACATTTTGCCATTTGTTGAAAGCTGAGCTGGTATTTATCAAGCATTCTGAGTCTGTCATTTCCCAGATGGGTCACATTCCTTCCACACAATGGATGTACCAATATTTCCCAGTTGCTGCCTTGCTAGGAATCAGGTTCTGAAATGAGAAATACAGAGAAAGTCAATAAGATTTTTGTATTGTATACATCATACTAGTTACATCAAACAAGAAGTAGAATTTCTAAATATCAACTATTGTACTGAACTATTCAGTTACAGCACTAGCAGCATAAGAAGAAAGGATGTTTGAAGACTGTGGTGCTTTTACAGAGGCAAGAATAGAAAAAAGACAAGAACGTGACCAACAAACTATAATGTTTTACACATAAGTGTGTAAGCTTAACATTAATCTCCATCTCCAATACAATGCACTAGGAGGAATAAGGTTTGTTCTCCAGTTCCTTGACATGGCAAAACACAATAGCAGCATATCAAATTATACTTTTTGGTGGAAGTGCAAAGCAATTAAGAAAAGTGAAAAAGTAATGTTTTTTGATTGTTTGTGGGTTTTTTTTTCAGGCTCTTTAGTGACATTTTAAAATTGTAATAGCTGACACTAAGGTTTCTGTGCTATGCTCTATCAAAGCAGCATAAGTCACTAAAAATTACAGACACAAAAAGAGTACTTAGGCCACCGAATTTTAAGGAAAAAAAAATCCAAGAAAAACCACTGGTGCTACAACTGAAACTAGTGAGTTTGCTGACTTGTAAAGTACAGCATATTTTCATTTTAATTTGATCAGTTAGTGTCTGTTTCACTCACAGTTAAGAAACCAATTGACTGGAAAAAACCAAAATGCTTGCTTAGCATCTTACAATAGACTAGACCTACAATTCTGAAAGGCATCAAGTATAGGTCAGTTCTGTTTTTCTTTTTTTTTTTTTTCCTCTAAAGGAAGAACTAATAGCTAATGAATTAAGCAGAAACAATTTGTAAATTTATTTCAAAAGCCATTAAAGTTTACAATGCCTTTGCTATGTTAAAACTAAAGAACATTAAGATCAGTACTCAAGTTTAAGTCATACTTTCTTATTCTCACAAGCCAAGCAAGCGCATGTCTACTACCACTACAAACAGGGAAAAACTTAATACATACTAACTCAATTGGGTGCAAATGCATGAATATTTTCTGTGCATGTGTATGTTAAGCTACCTAACAGTTCAAGTATGTAGAGGTATCTTCTCCTTGGTAGAAAGTAATGCAAGCTAACATCTTTTTGGTTAGAAGCTAGTTAGAGAAACTTAGGAAAATATATATGTAATATGCAGTCCAAGCCTTTCAAAGGTGTGGCATAGACACCACTCTAAGAGCAGAGCCAACAGAGTTTATCAGACTTATTTCAAGATCTTCCCAAACCTTTCATACAAAATCCCTAACTAGGGAACATCACTGCTACTCTCCACAGACTGACAGACAAACAGCTGGAGAACATTAATTGCCACTAAACACCGCTGGCATCAAGAGCAGTTTTCCTATTAATGAACTGTGCATGACATTTGTATGCTTTAACATGAGGCCTTGCTTTAACATATGTATTTTCACAGTTCCATTTTGCAGTAAGAATCCTGCACTGGCATGTGCATTATTAACAAAGGGTAACTGTTGAGAGCACAGTACCTGCTGTAACTTCCCTACAATGAAAGCATCTGCAAAAATTTTCCTGCTTTGCCATTTTCTTCACTTCAGCATTAAGTGAGTGCAGCCAATGCACAGCACAGTTGTCACAATAGAAAACTGCTTAGATCTTTACCCCAGGAACCTAACTATACACAGATGGGAAATACATAAACATACTGCATGCAAAAATACACACCTGCTGCAGAAGGTTCAGTATACTTCACAAGGTGGTTTCTTCAAGCTTCTTTGATGCTTCCACCAACTGTACAGCTCCAAATGGTTTATTCCAAGCACCTCAACAGGGTCTCTGAACCAGAGTGTCCAAGTGTACCACAAAAAGGTGAGTATTCCAGCATCCTCTATGCTTTTACAATCCAGCAATCCAATGAAATAGCTGCAACTCTCCTTAAGAGCATCTTGCAGTCCACAGATGAAGAAAACATCCATTGTAAAAGAAGTCTCTTTCCTCTCCTGGAACGATGTGCTTCATTCCTTCTGACTGCAGAGTTCATTTTAGCTTTTCTTCCAGAACCTCTCCTTTTTCCAAGCAAATTGTATTCCAACTCAGTACAATATTTGCATAACCAATCATAAGGCAGATTATTCCACATGAGAAAGTTCAGCCTTGGCAATATCCATATTTCAAAGAATCCCAGAGGCACTGAGCAGCATGCCGATCGTGTGATTTCTCAGATATAATCCCCAAACTTCCAATAATGAATGATCAGAGACAAATCAAATAGTTGTTGGCAAAAAAGTAGCATAATATATCCAAATACATGAAGCAACTTATAAAGACAAGGAAATTCCAAAAAGGTATCGTTTGTACCATGAGATCTTGTGTTTGTAGAGTAGAGATTTGCTTGTACTATGAGAAGTATTATACAGCACAGTGCCTGTTGTAGATGACACATATGTGGAAACCAATCTTGCCAATGACAGGCAGACCTTCCTTGTAGAATCCACAGAACAAATACTGCACAAACTTGTTGCAATGTTAGCAATGTTACTCTGCAATAGCCTTGGAGCTTGCAGAAGCATCCGAAGACAGGCTAGCAGGGAGAGCTCTAGCATAGCCAAAGCCCAAAAGAGCAGTAAGAAAATATGACTGGAAGCGTTTATATAAAGCTGTGGCAGTGAATCAAGATAGTGAACTCAGGTAAGATTACTCAGGGTCTGAGAAGGGAGCTGTAATGTGAGACAGGAAGCCAAAGGCATAAACTGAGGGTAGGAGCACAATTAAATAGCAGAAGAAAAAGCGGATACAAGTAGCTGCAATTACAAAAAAGAGGAAGGCCAGGCAAGAAAGTTACAATCAAGGGATATAATTAGAATTAAAGATAAGGTACTGAGAAATGATTTTATAGTAAACATTGACGATAAAAAGTAATAAGGTTATACAAAACACTATGAGGAGGAGGAAAATAGATCAAAGGAGAAAGTGGGCAACATAATCAAGTTTATAGTTGTGGCCAACCACAATAACAGCCACTTTAGTTAAGAGATAGGAATAAAAAAAAAGAGACTCTCAAAATACTACCTTTAAGCATTTGGAAACAAGATCAGAATACTAGGCAAATAGACTTAGCCTAGATTTTGAAAAGCTATAAAATTTAATACTGTTGGATATATTTTTCAAAGGTTTTACATGTTTAGTGTCCAGAAAAAAAATAGATTAAGAGCTCCGGTGCCACAAACAAAACAAAGCAGGTGCTTTATAAGCTTGCCTCAGACAGCTCTGCTATTTCAGCTGAACCTTGGCTCTCAGAAAATCCCTACTGCTGGAATCCTCACTGTCTTTCCTGATAGAAACTCTGGCAACTCTGGCAACGCATGAGCACTCCAAATCACAGGATTTTTTATTTTTATTATTATTTTTTTTCCAGTTCTCCCAGCATCAGCATGCCTTGGTTCTGATCCACAGCTTCCCCTACTAATCCAGTTCCGAATTTAACAAATCAAGACTAGCAGTTGCACAACAGATTTGATACATGCAGACAAAATCTCAAAGATCCAACATCTCGCCTTTGAATTACGCCACTACTATAAGAATGTTTCCCAGAAGGAAAAGGATGTCTTTGGTATCATCACAAGGCAAAAGCCTTGTGCTACGAGCAAGACAAGCCGCTGATCCAGGATATTTACCTTTCTGCAAGCAGGACAAAGTCCATTCTCATCAGTGCGGATACGATGCCAACAGAAACGACAGATTTGGTAGCCACAGGTGCAAGGAAAGAAGTTGATGTCATCAATCTCCAGAGGCTCCATGCAAAGGGGGCATTCCACAGGGTCTTCCTTAGCATCAGGGCTGCGAGACATCTTTGTGTTCGCAGAGCAGCAAAAGTTTATAATAACTTAATAGATAAAGAAGGTCAGCACTTGAGGGGCTGCAAGAAAAAAAACAGCAAAAGAAAGTAATTGGTACTTGTCACAACCTTTCTATAGTCCCATTTTATATTTCACTTCTCCATCACTTTCCTTCTCCCCACACAAATTATCTACAAATATACAAGCTACTAGTTAATAACCAGAGTTTGAGTCTGTCTTCCTACTTATGAGTCACACAGGTAATGTGAAAGATGCTATTGATGATGTTTCTCCCTACCTGGATATGTAAGCACTTCTTTGACAATTTACTAGCCTATTTGGATTTCAAGCTGTACAGCTGCAAAGAAATGCTTAGAATGTATGATGTACACTCTCAAGTTCTTCCAGCTCCTTTTACTGACTGCTTGCTTGAAATCTTCTACAAATTCAACTCAGGACTTCATGTTCAAGACCAATTTATTCCTTTTCCCAGGGATTTGGAACTACATTTAGGTCATCCATTCAAACTTTTCAGGAGGGTTACAGAATTATTGAACAGAAACAACGAAAAGCTTCTTACACAGAGCGACTCATTTCTTTGCCCATCTTTTTTTTTTTTTGTACAGAGACCAACCAAACCTTAGGACTACTTTTAAAGAAGTATTAGCCAAGGTTTGTCAGGTACAAAACTTTCTACATGTGTCAGACAACTTTCATCAAGTCACCTATGCTTTTCATCAGCATTTAATTCACATCAAAGGTGTTCTATGTTCCTTTTTTCAGCTAAGAGAGCAGACAATACAGCTATCTGGACCTGCACTCTGAAAAAGAAACAATATTCATGCCACTATTTTCTTAATCATTTCTTGATCTCAGTCATTTGATTATGCCTTCATTCTGTCTTAAGAACGCAGAACAAGAAAAAATACCGTCATGCTCAAACAGTCTTAACTGGGATATTCAATTATTTTTTTGGTTGTTCTCCTCTCTCCAGTTAACAATGAGCACGGATACTTGAAGCGGTATTTAGCCTCAGCAAGCTATCTTTACCTGCTGCAGGAAACATACATGTGTAGAAAGAAAATTAAAGAAAGAATTTTAATGTGGATCTTTTGGATGAAAACAAGAAAAAACCCTGCACATCTAAGGCCCACCCAAGACTATGACTGATATGTCAGTCACACACACCTACAAATACAGTCTCCTTCACCCCAAGAATTGGAAGATATCCAACCAGATACCTGGACTATATTATCTCTGACGGCCTGCTATCATGCATATACAATTATAAATTAAGGATACACACCATGTGAAGTCTCCTCTACCCTCCCAAACAGTTTTTCCATTTCATTTTTATCCAAAGAAATACCAGATCATGTACAATTCACTCCTTCCCCAGGCTTCTAGGAGAAAGTCTGGAGACAAATTCTGAAGTCCATCTACTTGAAAAATGACATTTAATCCTAACTTCCGAAATTAGTTTTGAGATCAATTCCTTGCACACAGATTTCTGTATGTGGCAGTCATAGCCTTATGTATTTATAACTCATACCTAAACAGCAACAAAACCCAGTTCTGTTTATCATCTTCTGACTCTAAACCACGCTTCCTCACAGAAGAAAGAAGCTTGAAGCACAGACGCATGCAAAGTACAAACTAAACATGCAGCAGAGAAAAAATGGTATATAGCTTTGCACAGAATGGTTACATCACAGCCAGGTTTCTGTGTTCATCAGCTGACACCAGCATCCTACAATAACTGCAATTTAGACTATTTCCGTAGTGAGTATAGCCTCAAGGTACAAAACAATTCTAGTAAATACACAGCATTGTCCTTAAGAAGTAAAATAAAACAACCAAGTTGCATTAAATGCTCAAATAAAAGGAAAAGGAGAATGTATATTAGACACACTAAGTCTGATTTCTCTACATGGCATTCACTAGCAACAACACTGCCCTGTTTCTGACCTTCACAAGGATTAAAATCGAAGAAGTTAAACTCCTACAATAACATGGCAGCTTTTACTTAATTATCTGTGATTTAATTAGTGGTATATTATAATCCTTTTGACCACCTCAAAATCACACTGTGGGACCTTACCAGTGTTTTAGACAGAACAGAATCTGGCTTGAAAGAAGGCTTAGTCTGCCTGGGAGCTTTGTTTTCTTTATAAAACCCACTCACACTGGCTGCGAGGATTATTAAAAGGCCATAGCACACTATTTAATGGCTTGTTACACAGATAACACACATTTCTGCAGCAACTCTTATACTTTTCACATTCCCCGTATGCAGGTTAAGTTTGCTATAAAAAAAACTTTTCACACTTGTGACAGAAAAGCATTGCAATTTGAAAGTGACTTTAAAAACTGAAGCATGCAATAAGCTGCAGAGAATTTGTTCAGTTTTTACCTGAATTTAACTTTCTCTGAATTGCCAAGTGATAGGTCAGTAAGTAAACAGCATATTCTGATCAACACTGTACTCATTCCACTATACATGCAGCAACTTCGAGCCTACTGAAACATGTGTAAGTAAAGCTATGCTAGTACCATGAAGCTGTACGTGTAGAAGTGCAGCTTTGCACTTCTCTCAGAAGAACTTCCAGATCACCACAATAAACCTATTGAATTATGAAGTCATTTCTGGAATCTCAGCTAGGAAATGTTATCAGTTCACGTAAAGAAGAGCATGACATATTAGCCAGTGCCTCTGGGATATGCAGACAAGCTCTAACAAAATTGCAACATGATTAACATTTGTTTAAGATAACACTTAGAGTTCAGCATCTGTTAGCAATAATGCCAATAGTTTGCTTCAGTCAGTAAATGGCCTGTTATTTAACAACAAGGAGTGAAGAGCAGCTGCACAACGTTTCAAGAAACTAAGTGAAAAGCAATATTTATTTGCTCGGGAAAACACCATTTAAGCATCCAATCTAAAGATTCTCTCAAATGAATTGTCTCCATTTTGGGGGGTGGAAGGGAGGTTGATATACCAGGAACCGTGGCCCAATTCTGCAGAGTGACACTCATTTTTCAAAATCAGAACAGTAGCATTCATACAGAGCTACCAAGAAACATAACTGGTCAGCTCTAAGGCTATTCCAGAGAATTCATTTTGAAGATGAACCTCATAGGAAAAGTAACGCAGTGACAGCAAACCTCACAAGGTAGTACTACATGCAGTATTCAATCCAGAGTATGTGGTTTTGGGGATCAAGTTCCCAAAGATGAATTTAACAGCATCTCAAGAGAAAAAAAAAGGAACATTGTGTACATGTATGTGTATGCACACACACAAAATAACAGCAGCTAGAATTTGTCTATACACTTTCCACAGCACTGACAATACTATCAAACAGCACTCCAGCAGCTCCACATCCTGTTTAAAGCCTGTGTAAAAACATTCACACAGAGGAAGGAGCAAAAGTGGACAATGTCCAGCAGCATCTTGTAGATATAGTTAACTTGCCAATAGGTAATAATCAGAAAATAGAAATATTTAGTTGGTGAGGTAGAAGGGATAAGACATCTATTAGCTGCTGTTAAACATGAAAAGTTTGGAACCGAGTTCTCTCTCTCATTATTAGAGCAATTTTTAGAAAAAAAAAAAGAGCTACTCCCATTCCTTACACTTTTTCTTCAGACCATCTGCTAATAGTCATTGACAGAAAGCAGACTGAAACAGGTCAGCTTGCTCAATCATGCAGAAACCACAATGGGGGTACCTACATGCTTGCCAATAGCCCAAGTTTTCCATAATACCGTGCTCTCCCTAGCCTATAGCAAGAACAAGAGCATACCTACTTACGTCTGTCACTCTTGTATGCTTATAAAGGACCACTAGCATTAAAAAGTGGAATATTGTTTGCAAGCCCTAATACACCAGTTTCCTGTGTATGAGGTCTAAATTATCGACTTCACTGTAAGAGATCCACATTCCAATACAGAAACATTATTAAGCAGTCAAAACAGTACTTTGGCAAAACAAAGCACTTCGTAGAAGACAGATGGTTTAATGATTAAAAGCTCTGTTAATGTATGTACACGCAGCAATTTGTGATATGACAGCATTCAGCTGTAGTCACTAACATAATAAAGAGTATTCAATACCAGGGCATAGCATCCTGGCAGACCAAGTGCTCAGTGCTACCATAACTAGCTAATAGACTACAGCCACTCGAGCTCTCTGCAGCAAGGCACAGAGGCTGAGTGACAGCAGCTGTACCTCCCCAGACCAGATTTCATACGCTTCACAGAACTTCCCAATATCTACTTTTTCTACACTTTTACCTCTGAAGATTAAAAAAAAAAAATCCTAGACAAAGTGGCTTCATCGATGCATTGAGCAACTTTGGGGATGCTGGCTCAAACAGCTGAAAGCTCCATTGGATGTTACAACCCCCCTTAAACCCTGAATCTGTGAAACCTATTACATTACCCAGAAGTAACGATGTTACAGTAGCTGCTATCACCATAGGATTTCTGAACTGATTCAGCATATACTCAAATTCTTTTCCTGGAAAAAAAAAAAAAGTTCTTCAACCTTAAGAGAACCAGTTCCTCCAAAAAAAAAAAAAAAACACAAAAAACCCACCAAACTGGTAAATTAAAATGACATGGTCTGACTGCACTTTTAAGAAAACTTGGTACAACTGTTAATGAGACTTTAGTTATTTAGATAGGATGTCTTTATACAGGAGAAGAGAAACCTCAAGAGTTTGCTTCAGCTTTCCACCTTCTGGAGTTCTTATCAGTTTTTAATGTCTCCTTCTCCACTATTCTTCCGTTCTCCTCTCTTCTTCAGAGAGGTAAGAACGTGCCATTCTGTAGTGAAAACACCTTGTGCTAGCTTGTATTAAACTGCTCACCTAATAATAATAGCCAGCATTCCCAGATCCAATTACAAAAAAAAACTCACATCTGACAAGCTCTACAACCTTCAGTGAGATTACCCAGAAATACTCTCACACAGAAATCACATCAGTTGAGGCTGCAAAACTGTTTGGAAATAACAGTTTGCAACATTCTGCTGCCAACTTAGCATCTGGGTAATTTACCAGGACTTATTACTGAC